CAGCTCAGGCTGGCCTTGAACTCACTTTGTAGCCCAGGCGGGCCTCGAACTCACAGTGATCCTCCTGCCTCAGCCTCCCTGGTGCTGGGATTACCGGTGTGTGCCACCACGACCAGCTGTTTAATGTAATTTTTAACTATTCTCCTAAAAAAGAAAAAGACATCTCACACCATTGGAAGAGGCCCTTATGACTACTTGATTTTATGATTCAGCTAAGTGTAGCATTAAGCTATCAGTGTTGAAAGGTAAGTCCTGTGGTCTGCATGAGCAGAATGTGGCTTAATCAGTACATAAGTGAATAGCTGGAACAGGATGAGACAGGGTTTACCATGCTGATAACATGGTGTGCGGTTTTCCTCTCGCGTAGAAGGGGAATGCTGCCAGGAGAGACTGTGAGAATTCTCAGGCATCAGTGTGACAGAAACTGGGTGGGACAGAGATGTTTCAAGAGTGAAGTAATTTAACAATCTCTTTGGGAATATGGTATGGACTCATCTACTCTGAGACTTCATCTTTTTCACTTGGTGATCTCCTGCCTGGGGATTTGTTTCCGGAACTCTCATCTTACTGTTATACATTCCTACGGCTACCCATGTTAAGGTTAAAGGTCTAGATCACCTCTCAAAAAACTACTACATTTAATCATATAGATACGTTCTTTTTTTGGGGGGGGTTGTATTTTTTCCCCCCGGTATCGGGAATCGAACTCACGACCTTGCGCTTGCCAGATAGGCGCTGTGCCACTGAGCTAAATTCCCAGCCCCATATAGATACGTTCTTGTTTTATCACTTGCTAACGACTGTAACTTAAATCTTTTTACAATATCGGCATGGCTTAAATTAAGCAGGCTCCTTCTGTGGGAAAATAAAGAGAGATCCCCCCCATTATGTGTGATCCTAATTAGCACTGCTTCTGTCACAGTTAATTTAGTCAGTAAAGCTCAGCTTGCTGGCGATCTTGTCCTATCGCTTTTAGCTCACCCCATCTTTCTAATTTGTTGGATTCCTAAGAAAAAGTCCACGACCTTTTTCAACTAGCACAATTAAGAACTTGCACTTTCAGCTTCTAGCCTGTTACTTCCTCCGTTCTGGGGCTTACCTCGGCAGCCCACCCTCAGGTCAGGGGATTCATTAAAGGAGGAATGCTTTCTTGTGCGCTTTCCAAGAAAGTACATTGCTTGAATGTGGAGAATGTTTAGAAGAGTGACTATCTTAACTTAAGTGAAAGAAGCTGCCCTCAAGCTATTAACCGCCATCAGTTTAGTAGTCCTAAGTAATTCCTGTGTATACTGTTGGTTTCAGGGAATGCCAAAGTCTTGAATTGAAGCAGAATTTATGTTTTACGTTTGCATTAGGAAAATTCATTCATGCTATGGCAATATGGTTTTCTAATAACAATTTGATTGCTAACAATATTATAAAAGGTAAATTTGTGATGTTAAGAAAACATTATGAAGCAGGTAATAATTACCTTTCAAAAGAGCCCTTTAAAATGAATCTATGAAAAAAATAAAAAAAAATAAAAAAAATAAAATGAATCTATGGTTTAATTTTTTAGAGTTCTATTAAGTTTTTAATGACGCTTTTATTTGGTCCAACTATGTAGCAAAGCATCCCAAGACATGCTAAGTTTTGTATGTTTTCCTCACTGTTGCTCTTTTCTTATTCCAAAAATCTAAGTAAACTGGCAGAAGTCCCCCCAAAACAATGCCATACAACTGAGGAACTGGAAAATAGGAAAAACTGAAGTGAATGAGGAAAAAAGAATGAATCTTTTCAAGAAAGCAAAAAACTTCTTCTTAGGTAATTGTTTCAAACTATAAGGATCATTTTTGTCTATTTTTTAAAAATGGACATGTAAACAACATAACCAATGCCAAATTACATTGATTGGAAGCAACACACCTATGTCAGGAAAATGATATAACCCTTGGTTCTGAATTTCTTAATGAAAATAATCTGAAAATATTCACTGTGGCCAAAAAGGGGTGGCTCCCTGCATAAGATTAATTGAGTAATAAATCCTAGAATTTCACTAAAATCCCAAAGGAACTTTTCTTTAAAAGTTATTTTATTGTTTTAAAAATTAGAAATTCTGCAGGCTGACTCTATCAGATTCCCTAATGTCAGGATCCAGTAATTTTCTTTACTGGCAGAGATGATAAGAGCTCAAGATTTGCCAAATTCTGATAAGGACATCAAATACCATACTGAACTGGCATCTAAAAAAAGGATTGTTAACTATTATTGGCTATTCTACAACTGACTAAGACAAACTTCTTGATTTGATATTCATTGTGCCGTATATTGGGAAGAGTCTGTTTTAAACTCTGGAGAACTATTAAGAAGAAATAGGGGCTGGGGATTTAGCTCAGCGGCACAGTGCCTGCCTGGCAAGCACGAGATCATGAGTTCAATTCCCGGTACCAGAAAAAAAAAAAAAAAGAAAAGAAAAAGAAACAAAATACAATATTAAGAAATTGAAAAAAAGCGGGGGGGTACCTAGGGATTTAACTCAGTGGCAAAAGTGCCTGCCTGGCAAGCACAAGGTCATGAGTTCGATTCCTGGTACCGGAAAAAAAAAGAAAAAAAGAAAAAGAAATTGATCTGAAACCTTCCTCTCATCAAATGAGGTAGTTTGCAGTAGTCTGTAGAATTAACTTAGGTTTTCTTTTCCTTCACCACTTCCAAATTTGATAATTTGATACTTCCCACATGGATTAATAGCTGGGGTGTCCATTACCATCACCATCTCAATGATATATTTACCATTTATAAGGGAGTCCTGTGTCCAATTTTTTCTTTCTCTGTTGTTCTAGTCCTTCTTCCTCCTCTGTTCTCAGGCAGCCACTTGTGCTTTTCTGCAAAGCAGGCCCTAGAGGCTTTGAAGCTTTCTTTATAATGTGCTGTGTACATGGGACTGTGCTCTGCTCTGTCACATGCCCTTCTCAGTATAGGCCTGTGAGTGGCAGCAGCAGAAAAATTTGCCCAAGTATTTAGATGAGCAAAACTTGTCAGCACCTTATGGTCACGGAGGATCAGAACTTGGGTCACTGAAGACTCAGCCTCCCCACCACACCACTGCCCTGTCCTTACATTATAATGCATCTATGATTTCCAGAGCTTTTGAATGTGGACCTACAATAAAGAATTTTGAGGAGAGCTTTCTGTGGCATGTACACAGTGTTCCAAGTCTTTAGTTTTCCTTTTTTCCAACAAACATCTGTTCAGCAGGTATTCCGCACCACTCAAGCATCATTTCTCCCCGACATATGGGAATGTTGAGGATGAAAAATCATCTGCGGGTCATGTACAGTCTAGTCCCTAACTTTAGGGACGCATTATCAAGTGCAAGTGCATGTGACCGAGTACAGGACAGAGCATTTGCTAAGGGAGCATGATTTCCTAAAGCCCACCTTCTTATTTCAGAGGAAAACGTGCCCCCAGAGGACACAGAGAAGGTGGCGAATCGCACTCTTGACATCCGCCTGCCAATAACATCGCAAAATCCAACCCACCAATTTGAGGAAGTGCAGAAACTTATGCAACTGTGTGAGAACTACAGGACGGAGAAGAACAGGCTGAATAAAGCAACATATGGAGCCCGAAAGCTTTTGGTCAAGCCAAAAGTAGTTGAGTAAGAACGGTATTAACATCCTCATCTTCCTCTAACAGCCCATCTGCTGAAAAGGCATCTAAAAAATGTTTGTCCAGGGAGCCATAGCGTGCAAATGGAATCAGCCTCCAATAGCTCTGTCCAAATTGAAGGCTCAGCTCTTTTCGGAGGTGCCCCCAGGAGCTGTGCAGTTGGGTGGCAACTGCGCAGGGATGCTTGTGTCCGTTGTTCTCAGATGCTAAACGTGTTTCCAGTGGCCTGGCACTCTTAATACCAAGGCGTACCAGTACATGCAATATATGAATTCTGTGCCACTATTTTAACGCTGACTGGAATGTGGTGTGGTTTTCCTGTCTTTACCTAGTTTTGCTACTTTTAAAGTACTATCATAAATAGCACTTGAACATCTAAATTTGAAAATAAGATTACAAAAAAATATGATGGCAGAGAATAGAAGAAATGGACACCAGCCCCCAGTATAATACAGGAGTAAAATGATACGCACAGTGACAGAGTAAACTCCTCCTTCTGGCCTGTTGACCTAGCCAAGCAAAAAGGCAAAGGCATATTGGTGTCTCAGTGAGCGTGGGGTGCTGTGGGGCTTGGCAGGCGGATGTGACGCAAGCGAGGCGTACAGCAGCACTCAAAATCCCACCCCTTCCAGTCTTAATATTAAAAATCAGGAGGATAAAGTACCTGCAGGACAATTATATAGCTATTTAAAATGATACTGATGAAAGATTTTTAGGAACATGCAGATTCTGATAGTGCGATGGTAATGTTTTTATTTAAAAGCAGGTAACATGATACATGCAAGAGGAGCTCAATCATGCAAAGAAAAAAGAATTTAGGACAAAATGCTCAAATATGCCATTATCTTCAAAGGTAGTAGGATTACTGGTGCATTTTTTCTTCTTCTTTACATTTCTTTGGTACAATTGAAATTTGCGATAATGAGCAGTATATCGAAAACCTAAAGAAAAAAATATATATATTTTTAAAATATATAGTGGTGGAAATAGAAGAAACACACACTAGAGCCCTGGGTATTACCGAAGTGAAATGGTGGGCTGGGGTCTAAGTTCAGGAAGGCAGAGTCCTGAGAGTGAGGGGGAAAGCTTGCCCCTGGGAGTGGAGGCATCAGGTGAGGCAGGGGGTGGATTGTGGCTTAACCCATTCTGCTCTGGGCACAAGCTTTGCTCCACACAGGTCTGGCTAATGTTTCACCGGTGCTTCTTTCTGCTCAAGGCAGTTTTGAGCCCAGAGATCTAAGTATCTGGTGAGTGTAGACTGGAGGTAAATGCTGTCCCGTAAAACAGTCCATGGCCTGGAATGCCTGCGATTGTAGCCTCTGACTGGGCCCCTGAGCGGCTGGAATGTCAGCAAAGCTTAAAAGCCCTGAATAAACACAGCTTGCATCGCAGGGCCTGGGTCCTCTCTTGACCCTCCACCCCCACTCCATGAGGACTGGGAGTGCCGCACTCATCTGAGAAATCAGAGGGCTGGGATCAGCTCGCCTTAGTTTTCATCCACAAAGACGTCTGTGTGAGGCAAAATCCCAATCTTTTGGATATGCACACATAGATATATGTGCGCTATTGGCACTTAAATATGCCTATTTCTTACAAGGAAGGCTTCGGCACTTTGTCCTGGTTAGGAGGAATTTAAATTGACTTTATAAATAATTCAGTCAAGTTTTTGGTTGAGTGGACTCTCAAGGTGAAGCAAATGAGTAACTACATATTTATCTAATCTGGTATGTTAATGTCTTACCTTAGGAAAGGAGCAGATGTTCTGCTAAACCTCGACAAAAGCGTTGGGCAAGTTGCAGCAAGCGCATATCATTCAGAGAGGGGCAGACTCGGCATCACGTCAGCTAAGAAAACACAACTAAGAAAGAATGCACGCAGGTATTTTTCTATCTCGGTTGAAACTAACCCGGAGAAACACACTGTAGCCTTATGTACGCCAATACGGTTTGTACTTACGTCTGTCTGACGGGTCCCCTATGAGGGTAAATTAAGATTTTGATGGGATTCTGGGCTTATTGACTGTCCCGTATTAATGGTAATGCAGTACTATTGTTACAGTAATGCTGTACACGGTTAATTAATGGTCTACAGAGCCCTTCTGAGCATCATTTCATTCTAGGGGATGAGAAGGCCACTACCACCATCTTGTAAACCAAGCAACTAAGTCTAAGGGGGGGTTGCGTGACTGTCTCAGGCCACACAGCTAATTCATAGATGTGAGGCCGGAGCTCATTCCTGCGATAGCTATGGAAAGCAACAGACTTTTAAAAGTTCACAAGCAAAAGAAAGTAAGGTAATTGTTGCAATTTTTTTTCCATACTAGGGATTGAACCTGGGGCATTTGCATTGAGCTACATTTCCAGCCCACTTTTTATTCTTTATTTTCAGACAGAGCTTCCCTAAGTTACTGAGTTGTCCAGGATGACCTCAATTTTATAGTACTCCTGCCTCAGCCTCCCAGAGTGTTAAGATTATAGGCCACCGTGCCCGGGTTTGCAAGGATTTTTGTAGCTAAAGTTGCCTGAGTTTATGTCAGAGGATCCCAAAACTGAAACAATATGTCAGCTGAAAGAACTCATCCAGTTGAGCGGAGCCAGGCCACAATTTAGCCATGCGGTGGTGCAGCAGGTGGAGGTCAGAGCGGGACCCGTGGTTCTCTGTCACGTCCCCCTCTTACAGGGCTGAGAGTGACTCACTCTCCATTCTTCAGCTGTGTTCTGCAGATCTCCACCACGCGTCCTGAGAACAAAAGCAGAACACAGCAGAACAGGATGTAGTGCGCCAGGAAACACAGGGGTTAACTAGGAAGAGGCTGCATTCATTGGGTAACAAAGAAGGGAGGAATACTATCGGCCACTCGCTCTCCCGCTTGTGGACATACGCCCTTGAAAAAAGGATGGCAGAATGCAGCCACGGCAAACAGGGTACGACACTACCTGTTCCTTTACAGAAAACATGTGCAGACCTACGTCAGTCAACTCATTAGTCCGGCTGCTGGACACAATACTCAGTACTGACAGTTTAAAGGAAGAGGGGTTATTTGGTTCACACTTCAGGAGATTCAGTCCATGGTCAGCTGACTCCAAGCTAGGAACATCATGGCAGAAGGGCGTGGTGAAGCAAAGCTGCTCAGCTCACGGCCACCGCGAAGCACAGTGGGGGAATGGTACTGGAAGGGAATGGTGTAGGGACTATGTACTGTGTAGTACCCAAGGACATGCCCGCATGACCCGTCCAGTGTGCTGTGCCAGCCTACTAAGCATTTCTTAATGCAGTGAAGCTGACAAATCAAGATTAATGGCCATAAGATTCCTGCTCCAGAAAAACTCCCACATATATGTACAAGGGCAGAGGAAGGGATTTTGCATCTAAAAATATGGCAGACCAATACCTTAAGAAGCCCTCTTAGTAGCAAATGTTAGATAGCGTATTTAAATTTTTTAAATGCATAATGGACTTACTAGGAAACTGAGGATATTCTCAGAGCCAAAAAAGGTCAGAAAGCATGAATTCGGACAGCTAATCAGGCACTAACCAGACAGGTACCTGCCAATCCCTGTTGTGTTACAGCTTTTGGATTTCAGGGTCACAGTACCTAACAGATAGAAAACGGAGTCCATATAAGGAGGGAACTAAAAACCAGATCCCAAAGTGAAACATTAAACTACCACACACACACACACACACACACACACACACACACACACACACACACGCTTGCATCGGGCAGAAATCTCTAAGAATTCCTAGCCACAAGTTGGCTCCCACATGAGATTGGGGCTAGAGTTTATACTACACGGGAAACCCCCCAAATCTAAGCTAAAAGCCTTATTTAAAGTGGTCCTGAGCCGGGCGTGGTGGCGCACACCTGTAATCCCAGCACTCAGGAGGCTGAGGCAGGAGGAACGTTGTGAGTTCAAGGCCATCCTGCACTACAAAGTGAGCTCGAGGCCAGCCCGAACTGCATAGCGGGACCTGTCTCAAAAAAAGTGGTCCTGGGCTGCTAGTGTCCCCAGGGGCAAACAAAGTCTCCTGTGAAGAAATGCCCTTAAACCCACGCCCCGTAAGTTCCTTCCAAACACACAAGGAAACCAATTGCCTCAAACAAAAGTCATCCAAACAACAGAGTCAGAATGTAAGAGGCTGTGGATCTGACCAGTATCGGTCATAAAATCCAAAATAAGAATGTTTGCTATGTGTAAGAAAATCAAAGAAATGTAAACATAAACTATAACCAATGAACCAATGAGCGAGAGACAAGATAACAGTCAGACTTTAAAAATGATTAAATAGGACCTCTGGATATGACAAATATAGTCACTGAAACAAGAAAGTATAAAACATGAGGAAAAAGTAGAAGCACCAACTAGAGAATTAAAAAAAATATATATTCAGCAATGGAATGTCTTCAGTTGGTAAAAATGGACGAGCTACAGGTATGTAAATGCACGCAGACGACTTCCATGGACCTAATTTTGAATTTAAAAGCAGGTTGCAGGGTCCCACTCCCGCAGGGAGGCAGAATCCCCTCAACTGCACACTTTCACAATGTGCTCTGTCGTCTCTATTGTATGGATTTGCCTTTTACTCTAATTCGGTCGCATAACATGCAAAGGAAACATAAAGTCACCTCCAAAGAGCAGATCAAGTTGCAGACATCAGAGCGAGTTAACTAAACAGTTGTGGGAAACAGCCCCCTCCTTCAGGGTGCTGAGAGGACCTATCAGCCCTTCTCCTCAGCAGGAATTCTTTGCTTGGTTGCATAAACATAGTGGCTTAAACAAAAGAAAAATGTTAGTGTTTTGTAACTGGTCTGTCCACTCCCTTTAGTTCCTAAAGCCTGGGTAAAATTTCCACTGACTTGAGAGTTGAGAACGTTTTCTACAGAAGAGACGTTGAGAAAGGGGCTCCCTGCTCCCCCAAACCCTGCTTCCACACGCGTGCGGCTCTGTACTCACCCGCCTGCCTTCTGGGCTGTCAGCCACTCTGACCCGAAGTTTCCATGCTCAGTCCAGAGAGGTCTTTACGCTGGCAGTGCTGCTTTGCCTCCTGCTTCCCCTCCTACCTCCCTGCCTCTTTTCTCTTACTCGTGCTAGGCAAGGGCTCTACCACTGAGCTCCATCCCACCCTCTTACAAGCTTTTGTATTTTCAGACAAGGCCATGCTCAGAGGCACTGGCTGGCCTCAAACTTAGATCTGCTTCCCTCAGCCTTTTGAGTACCAGTCAGGAATCCATGCTGCTTCGAAATCCTCACCTTGAATATACAGTGCCACAGTGAACCAGATATTTATCAAAGACAGCATTAGGTCATTTTTGTCTTCTGTTCTCCAACCTTGGCAGAGTATAAAACAATTAGTGCCACATTGATAGCTGTCTTAACACGGAGAAATTATTGTTATTTGGGGAAGAAAAAGCGTATTTTTAATGAACTAGAGCTGAGATTTTTTTTCAACCTGCAAAAGACCAAACATGCACATAAAAGCCCTTTTGGAAATAGCAGTGACCCAAGAGCATTGACTGCACTACTGCTCCTGTGAAGGGTGTGAGGAGACTCATCCACGTGTGTGTGCTTTGTGAATGTTTTCTGACACTAGGAGTACGGCTCTGTTACAGAGGTTGGCTGAGCTGAAAGCTCAGTATGTTTTCTCCAACATGAGACCAGCACTCCAGGACTCACGAAGGAAACACTAGGAAGAGCGAAACAGCTTAAAAGATGCTACAGAAAACTTGGCTGGAGAGACAGAGGACCAGATGAAGGGAGGAGCAAGTGTGTGTTTGCTCGCCCACCACCCACCTACATAGCATCGTGATCCTCCACCTTCCTGGCAGAATTTACATCAACTTCAGTTTGTCTTTCATACCCTACAACCACGAACCCTGCGACTGCTTCCCCGAAGAGCGCCGAGTAGGAACTGGTTTTGTGCTTTAGGGGCTGTCAGATAACAACCTCTTGCACATGGGTTTGCCTAGGAAGGTACTGCTGAGCACCTACCTGTGTGCATCAGAAAACCCTGCGGTTTCCTTTGGTAACCTTGAAATCCCTTTTTCCCAACTCGGTGTTCTATAGTCTTGTTTGTGCTCATATTTATTGTCTCCCCCAAATTTAAAACGAATTGTATTCTTTTGGGATATGAGTAATTCTCAAAATACTAAAATAAACAAGACTCCTTACTTGTAAGTGCTTCTGTATTATAAAATGAGACATTGGCCTCGGGACCACATCTGCCATCCTGATGATGTGAAAACAGTGACGTACAGCGCGCGTGTGGCCAAAGCGGGACAAATACACGCCAGACTGCTAGCATTTGTTATCTCTGGGAGACGAGGGACTGAAAAGGAAACCACTGTGTTTTACATATATATTTGACTTTAAATCAGTGCACTTAAGGATATTTTGTCCAGCGCATTCTTAATGATTTTTTGTTTGTTTTTTCCGGTACCAGGAATCGAACTCATGACCTTGCGCTTGCCAGGCAGGTGCTGTGCTGCTGAGCTAAATCCCCAGCCCCTCCTAAAGATTTTTTAAAGAAAATATTAGGAGAGATTTAGAAAAGCAGATGGAATTTTTTTTAACCTTACACTGAATATACGGCAAAGACCAGTTTCGGTTATTCTCAGACCTTGGTCCTCAGTATAGGAGCAAAAACCTAGGAAGAATGTCTCTGCCCTAAGTTTTGTCAAAGTCCAAAGTGTTTCTTCCTTATCCACATTGACTGAAATTCACAGTTCATGAAATTAGATAGGAAGAGAAGTTTCAGTTAGAGGAAGAAGGCATCCCACTTCTTTCTCTTCAGTTTGGGGCTGTTTTCACAACTCAGCAAAATAGCAAAGTCTGTCTCCTTCCTGCCACCTGAGGAGGGGCGGGACATCTTCAGGAAGAGATGCCCACGGGTTCCCAGTGAGACCTCAGCCATTGCAAGGGGCCCCTGGAGCTGCAAGGCATATTCAGCCGTGGTTCCGACAATTTACATGTGGCGTTGTCTCTGTTACCTATTCACTGCATGAAAAGCCCCCTGAAATCTGGTGGCTTAAAACAACGACCGTGTCTTCGTTTGCTGCGAGTTGCCTGGGTGCCTACTCTGCAGGTTCCCCTGGTTACCCAAGTAGCTGCTCAGCTGATGAGTCACCAGCTAGGTCTTGGAGAGACCTGCAGAGCTGCAGGGCTCTGTCTTCCGGGCGGTTACCCCAGGCTGCTTCCCCGCCTGGATGTTTAAGGTTCCCCTGGAGGAAGAACAGAAGACACAAGGTGCCTGAGGCCCTGCTGCATCATTTCTTCCAATCTCACTACTGGTCAAAACAGCTTGTCCAGCGGGCCCGGGGCTGGGGTGTGGGAGTGGGGGAAGGCACACTGATCTACTTCCTGATAGAACCGGGAACAATGCACAGAATGCAGGGGACAGACTGTGTGGGAGGGCTGGGTGACCGGCCCCTCAGCCTGAGGGGACAGGGGAAGCAGGATTGTCACCAGAGCCCTTAGGGAAGAGGTCCCCACGGAAGCTGGCGCCCAGAGACCAAAGAACTGCCTGGAAGCCTGTGCTGAACTGGGACAGGCACGACTCCACCCTCCTCCCATCCCCAGCCTGAGCCGTGGCAGCTGTCCCCCTGCCGAGTGTGAGGAGAGCCAGCTGTCAAAGGAACGGGTGTGCTCCCCGCGGAGGTCAGCCCTCCTGGACCAGCACCATGGGGAGCACGGGTCTGGTGGGGAAAGGAGAAGTAAGTAGCCAGCTCCGCCACATTAACTTATGTGGTGGAAACTCCAGTGGAGGGAGCGTGCTGTGCGTTTTTTCCTTTTTTTTTTTTTTTTGGTTTTTCTCCGGTACCGGGAACCAAACTCATGACGTTGCGCTTGCCAGGCAGGCGCTTTTGCCGCTGAGCTAAATCCCCAGCACCACCCCCCCCGCCCCCGCGTTTTTTCCTTTTGATTCAGATATACTCCCAGCATCGAACCCCTTTTCAATTCAAATGGCCTCCTCCTGAGCTGGACGCTCCCCACTTCCCATAGCAGCTCTTCCGTCTCTGAATAGCTGTGAATGCTGCAAAGTTCTTCATAACCAGACAAAATCTCCCTCTCCGCGCTTCCATCTGCTGGCTTTGTTTGGTTTGCCCGGGATGCTGGGGGACATATTCACTCTGCTTTTCTAAACTGGTCTCTCGGATGCTTGAAAACAGCCGTGTCATATCCTGAGTCTTCCTTTCTCCACATAAAACTGCACCAGTGTTCCGAGGCCAGCTCCAACTCTCTCCCACGCAGGCTGACAGACAGTTACTTCGCGTCAGCTCAGTAGTCACATGGGACCTGAGTGAATGGGACATTGACTTTACTTCTTCTAGGAGGGCCATTTCTCTCATGTCGGTCTCTTTCTAAAAGGCCCCCTCAGACTGTTCACTGTAGCTTTCTACCACTCTCTGTCCACAGTTCCATGGGCTGCTTCCTAAAGGAATTACAAGGTATTTGTTGAATGAAGAATGAGGAGATGGATAGGTGGTGGAACCAAAGACAGGCATTACTTTGCTTTTAGTGCTTAGGACTTCAATGTCAAAAAGGAAGAAGAGGGCTGGGGATTTAGTCCAGTGGCAAAAGCATCTGCCTGGCAACCGCAAGGTTGTGAGTTCAATTCCTGGTACCGGAAGAAAAACAAAAAAAAAAAAGGGAGAAGAATGAAGAAATTAAAAAGTCAGTATTCTTTTCTGAAAAAGTGGGAAACTATGGAGTGAAAAGTATGTTTAAAATGAAGTTAAAATATTTAAGAACAAACCTTTGAAGATATAATACTTCAAATCCAATCCAGGATTGGATGTGTCTTTTAATTTCCAGTAAATTCTAACCAGCTGATAGCTTTACATTTTTAAATGCCTTTAGATATAAAATTTTAGCTAGGTGTGATAGTGCATACCTGTAATCCCAGTACTTGGGAGGCTGAGACAGGAGGATGGCAGGGCGTTTGAGGCCAGCCTGGGCTACATATGCAAATTCAAAGCCTGCCCAGATCACATAGTAAGACCCTGCTTAAAAATATATATATAACATTTTTAGAAAAAATAGCAACTTTCTCTGATTTATGTGAAAATCTGGAGGAGCTGGTGAAAAGAGATGTTTTATCCATTATATCAAAGCACAAAACTAAATATACCTTTAAGAGACACACAGCTTGGTATAATGTGGCTGTCTAAGGGGAATCTGTCACCTGGATGTAGATCATTTCTTTCATATCCTTCTTTCAGATTTAGAAAAGACGATCTAAGATTTGAACCTAAAGAGATGAGAAAAAGCCAATCAACTGCAACAATTAGAAGATCAAGCCACTGCCATTAAAAGTGAAATCATTGAGCAAGAAAATAAATATACTCCCCCCCACTTCCACCCCCACTACAGTTAGGCAGAGCTGAAGTGGAAAGGCTGTGCCTCTGTGTGCGGCTTCTGACGCATGAATCACGCTGTGCCGAACTTGAGAACCACAAAGGTGGCCCCTTCTTCCTGACACCCTGTGCTCACCACTGATCTGCCCTGCCCTGCGCAGCTGCAGGAGGGAACCGGGTAGAGAAAGCCACTCCCGGAGCCTCTTCAGAACACCAAGGGGGAAGGAAAGAGATGCCTCACTTTCAAAAGCCTTCCCTCTTGCCTCTTCTTTCTCTTCCATGACTTAAATATGATTGGTGTATATGGCATGGGAAAATCTAAATACATTCTCTAGTTACTAATAATCATTTCAGCCCAATGAACCTAAACATTTAAATAAAGATCTCTAATGCTTAGAAGGGCTAAATACGGATGTCATGTACTGGATTGCCCTGTGCATTCCCTTCATTTGAATTAGCTTGTATTTCTAAAACTGTTATTCTATCCTGAGCAAAATGTATACAGATGAAAATGGGACTTGTATTTATGTCCACTTTCTTACACACTCATTCTCTCAACCAGAGGAATTTTTTTTTCCTAAATGACACTGGAACAATATTCAAAGAGATAAATACTGAATTCCTCTTCATGACTTGTATTTTTGCTGTAAAATCTGCTGCTTCTGTCAAGTTCTTACTGTTTTAATACAACAGGTTAGATTGTCTCACACTATTTCTGATCATGTATGTTGTCTTGCAGAGGGATTATTTTAAGGGAGTTTGGCGCCACATTTTAAAATAAATAACATACATCACCACTGACACAGGAAAGAGGAAGAGCAGCTGGCGCCATTTCTGCTAAGGACCTAATCATTAAAAAGTAGGATTGAAGAATTCAACAAAGGGCTTCAAGATTACACATAAATACAAGACGTGTTAAAATGTATGTTATTGAAGAAAACTGTATAATCTGTTTTCCTGCAGATCCGAAAGAATAGAAGGAAACCTTTCTGTGGGAAGGACCACCCTAGACATTTCCTTTGATGTATACAATTGCAAGGCTCCAGCACTGAGATTTCTACAAACTCCACAACAAAGGGTCCATAAAATGACCCACAGATAAAATGATCCCAGGAGTGAAATGTGTATATATATAACAAAGTCACAAAGTCTGAGTTGTTTGCTCCAATGTTAAGGGCTAAACACACTCCAGCTGTCCCGTTTGGATACTGACTTTCGACTTTGCAGACACGATAGACAATGATACAGCAGAGCTCTTTTGTTAGAAGAGCACCATTTGGTCGTTTTTCCTTTCCAAAGACCGGACATCATACATGCAACAGGCCAGGGGATGTGGGACTGGCTAAAGTGGGAAGAATTTCTAGAAGACTGACAGAGTTCAGCAGAGTCAGGAGAATCCCCAGGCAGCAGGAAATCACAGTCATCCTAGGAACCAAATGAAGAAGCAACATAAACCCACTCAGCAGATCCACTGGCACTGTAGCTTGATGAGGTTAGGAAGTAGAGGTATGCTTTCCACTGATACCTGGCTGTGCTGTCTACAGTCTGGGGTCTAAAATAAGTCTAAATTGTCTTAAAAGCTGTACATATAGAAAATCCTCCTTCCTCAGTCATTCGAATTTTATACTTGCTGCACTCGTTGTTCAAGATACACAAAGCAAGATTCAGCAAAACAGTGCCCCTTATACACTGCAAAGAAATTTGACAATGTGTATCAAGGTCTCTCCTAAAATCTGGTATTTCCATTGTTGAACCTGTTTATTAAGAAAATAATCTTAAATATGGGGGGAAAGTTGTGTGGGTAATTTACTGCAGCACTCTTTACATTAAAAATGTAAATAAATAACAGAAAACCTCAATTAAATATGTGGTATGATACTACCCATCTGAGTTCTTGGTTGCAAATCATGTAAAGAAATAATAGCTTGTTAAGCAAGAGGAGAACTTATTGAAAGAAGCTCGTTAGCACACAAAATCACAGGAATGGCTGGAGAAAACAGTATCCCCTCAGTAACACTCAAGTTAGGGTAGCAGTGGGGCTCCACTGGACATTTCACCATCCCAGTAAGTTCCAAATGGTCTCTACCTTGTGTCAGAGTCCTATGACTCCGTATTCCCAGTAGCAGCTTTCTAGTAGAACGCTGTACCCCAGTAGAAGAGGATGAGCCTCTTCACGTGCTGCGACTGCCACTACGGAGAAAGAAGATCTTACCCCTCTGGGCTTTTCTAGTATCTGTGAAGAGGGCGGGGGAGGTTTGCCTCCATCTGTCTTTGAAATCCTCCAAAGTAAGAAGGATTTGATGCCAGGCATCAAAAAATTACATATTTCCATCAGAGTCTACCTCTTTGACCTCCAGATAGTACAATATAGTCATCACATTTCCACTTTTAAAATAAAAATATACTGAGTGAAATAGTCTCTGCTATGAGTGGATGCATATTACATGAGAAATCTGCATGTAAAATATTTCACACACTATGCCACCTCCAGCAGATATTTAATAAATAATAATAGCTTAAAAAAAAAAAAAGCTAACCAAAGAATGAAATAAAAATAAATGCTTCCATTAAAGAAAATCACTCAGCCGAATGGAAGGCCCTGCCACCCCACCTTCCAGGCAGGAAAACCCGCCTACGGTCTCATCCCTCACTGCCTGCACCCAGATCCAGGGCTGTGGTCTCCAGCTGGACTCTGCTCCTTCTGCACTTGCTGTGCCTCTGTCGGATATAATGCAAATCATAATCAAAATCGCTAAGTTAACCACCAACAAACACCGGGACATACAGAATAGTGAAGGAAGAAAGGGAGGTATAAAGCAAATACAGCTAAAAATAAAAATGCAGGGTATTGGGTGTCTTTGTCACTTTCCTGTCACTGGACATAATACTCAACATTCACAACTTATGGGAAGAGGGATTAAGTTTGTTCACATTTCAGTCCATGCCTGGCTGGCTCCACGGCAGAAAAGGCATGGTAGCGGGACCTGGCCGAAGACAGCAGCTCACATCATGGTGGCCAGAAAGCAGAGAAACAAAGGAGGAGCCAGGAGGAGAATATTGCTTCTAGGCCACGCCCCCCGTGACCCACAGGCAACCAGGCTTCACCTCCTAGCAACAAGGCCGCTATAGCCCCTGTGATCCAATAAGCTTCCACACACATGAGAATTTCGGAGGGCATTCTAGGTCTAAACCTTGACATTGAGGAACAGAGACTGAGGCTAGGGACTGTTCCTATTTCTCTTCAAGAGCTACTGCTGGGATGTATGATCTGCCTTCTTTGCCACACCTTCCTTGTTCCTCCTGCCTTCTGCAGCATCTCTTTACCAGGTCCTGTGACCCAGAGCTTCCTTCCTGAGGATTCCGAGCCTTTGCATACTCAGGGTAGAGTGCTCTGATGTTATGTTTTCCCACGGATGTGACAGTGTGATGTCCCTGAGTACCTGCAGCTCTGTTTTGTTTGTTTGTTTGTTTGTTTGTTTTTTTCCAGTACCGGGAATCGAACTCACGACCTTGCACTTGCCAGGGAGGCGCTGTGCCACTGAGCTAAATCCCCAGCCCCTTGCAGCTCTGTTTTCATTCAAGAGCCAGGATCAGTGCTCCAGCCAGCATTATAACCGTCCCCCTTCTTTCTTACCTGTTTATCCTGTAAAATGTGAAGCCAAAACCAGCTGAATCTTGGTATATTTTCCAATTTAATGGAAGCAGTGTTATGCTATCTAGTAAAAACATGCTTCTCTACAGACCAGAGGCCAAAGTCACAGGCACAGGAAGAACATTTTTGTTGCTAAGTCACTTAGATGTAATTGTGAGCAGTACCACATGTATTTCCACGGTGGTTTTAGATCCAAGTATTTTGCCTACAGGATGCTCCATCAGCTTTCACTGTCGAAGGCACGGCTCTGCCTCCCAACTAAGAAGATTTGATGTGAGTAGCATACACCACCATGCCCAGACTCCATGTTTTGTTTTTTTTTAAATAGGGTTACTCACAATTACAAAGTTGGCCAAATTTTAGATTTTAAACTTTGTTACAAAATGTATTTATTCAACAAAATTAATTTGATTATGTAGGAAAACAAAAATATATTTAATTTCTAAAAACTATTTGGTTGGGAATACTCAATTTATATGACACATAGCCAATTTTCTAGGGCATGTCATAATATCCAATCTAAATGATTACTCTATTAAAGTAAGTAGCTCAAAGCTTTCTCTGGAATCTGTTTATTGAGCCAACTAAAGGAATCATGTTATTGTGGACTTTCTAAAGAGGATTAGAAATGGAAGTTACATGGAGCCTGTAAATTGAACAACAAAACCAGTGTTTAAAGAATTCCAGAGACTCGTACTATGAGAAGAAGCTCAACGTTTGGGAAAGCTGTATAAACATTGTGTATCTAAAGATAAACACTCGGGGATCTTTATGACATTCAGGTTGAGCTTTGTGTTGGTTTTACTGCTTATGACTCATCTAGCCAAAGCAATATGTGAATGGAAAAGATCAAATATTCAGGATTAAGATCATAATTGCTTTCACTTGGAAACAGGAAATCTAACATTTTATGGACAAAAAAGTCAATTTCTTCAGATAATGAGAGATATGGTTTCGTTTTCAGAGCCTGAGATTGAGCCCAGGGCCTCATGCATGCTAAGCAAGCTCTCTATCACTGAGCTACCCTTCCAGCCCCAGATACCATGTTTTAAACAATAACTTTGTCCTTTCTGAAAATCTAGTTTTATTCAATTCATGATGTCACCATCAAAACTCTGGGGGAAAAATAACAGTCTCAACTCTGAATACAGCTTACCATACTTTAAAACATTAGGAGCAAAGAAAGTAGTTAATGAAGTAACGGTGGCTATTATAACATTGCATTCAAACCCAGACAGACCACAGAATTCCATTCAACCCAAACAAACCGTATTTCTTCAAAGTACCCACATATTTTTAAGGAACATCAATGAGCAAGCTTGCTTTATTGTTCCTAGGTTTAGCTACCAGAAGACAGACTCTTCTCAGAGGTGAGCTTTCGCTAATATCTCCATGTAGGTTGTAGATTCTGTTGAAGTGAACCTCGCTTCCAAGCGTAAAAGATCATTTCTAAGAATGCACTTTAGGGAGCTCTCCATTTTGGAGTAATACTTCAATACAGAACAAGTGCTATAAACGTTTGCTATACAGAAAAGTATAAAATAAGGGAAAAAGCTATTTTAAACAAGGTAATTCCCAGGTGGTTCTCTTTTTAATTCTCAGGAATAATAGGCACATGCATGGTATGTATAATGTATTATACACTTTTCATAACTGCAATCTACCACACAGTTGTATTGCAGAAGTAGGCCCCATCTTTTCAGGTGATTGCTTGGTATTCCATTCCATGGGTGTCAAGTAGTAATTTTTACTAATCCCCTAGTGATGGTCATTTTGAATTACTTCCAGTTTTTCTGTAATAAAACAATATCATAAACATTTTTAGATGCAAAGTTTGGTACATTTTCTCAGACTGAAAAGTATGCATTTTTTAAATTAATACATATTTCACATTGCCCTCTAGAGGCAGAGTTTCACCTTCTCAGTAATTATGCTAGTATCCTCAAGAACTTCCTTACAGCTGAAGCAACCAAGACTTGGGGACATGACTTACCTTACCACTGTGTTATCAGCACTTGAGCTTCCAACTTGGCTGTGACCACAGGATCCCTTCTTGGTATGTTCAGGTAGGTTATTTGTTTTGTTTTGTTTTGGTTTGGTTTTTTTTTTGTTTTTCTCTGGTACCGGGAACCGAACTCACAACCTTGCGCTTGCCAGGCAGGCGTTTTTGCCGCTGAGCTAAAT